CACTCGTTTGCGTCGAAGTCACGTGTCGCCGCAACTAATCTAATTAAAGAAAAGTGTGCGCGTCTGGTTTTTAATTAGTTCCAGTGCAATATCTCCTCGCCGGAGCGAATTGTTCAATAGATATTACTATGAGAATTTACACAAAGCCAAATCAAGATAATTAAAGCATTTTATTAAATTTCTAACTACTAAATATAAAAAATGTTGCTAATTGTGACTACTCTCTCGACCAATTTAAAACAAAGTTAAATAAAACCGGAAACACTTATTAATATTCATTAAAGCTACAATATTCTTAAGGGATTCCAAAAAAACTTAATTTTCTTGTTATTTTAAATTAATAGTAATCGAAAGAAAAGTTCGGAGGGTTATAATTATTTTTTTTTAAATATAGCATTTAATTTCATTCACCTTTACACTATTTTTAAGTCTAAAAAATATAACTCGTGTATTAATGCAGTTTTAATACAATATTACAAGAATAACAATTACAAAATAAAATGTACAGTTGCGACAAAGTGAGAAAACTGTAAAGGACTTACAAAGCTGCATTAGACGTTTAAAAGCGCAGATAGCGAAGAACACGAGAAAATAACATTTCGACTTAAACCTTGTTTTTATTGTCCGGTTTAGAAATCTAAAAGGATTAACTATATTGAAAATTTAATGAAAAAAACATGACACTCCCGTAACCTCGTAGCAAAGGTTACGTAATGTTGCAATTAAGTAATGAGCAATTTATTTTCAGACGTATATCGGATTAATGTTATCTTTCTACACAAACACAATCAATTACATGTTAACAGAATTTCTGAAAATAAATCTTCGAACTGATGTTGCGTCATTTTCTATGAGATTCTTTTTTTAAGTTAACACAATTCCACTCAATGCTGTTCAAATATGTTCTTTGCAATCGTATTTCGAAATGACAGACTTGTAACGAAGAATTTTTGTATGTTTTGAAACTTTTAATAAGTCCCCGTATAAAGGCGCTACGAGGAATTTAAGCTGGGAATAAAGTGCAATACGACACTTTATATGTCCAGATAAACTTTATTAGAAGCTCTAGAATTTAACGAGTATTAATAAAAAGTGTAGTCAATCGAAAACAAAATTATACTCGACCTTACTTCTTTGGCAGGTTAGTTTTTTAAAGTCAGTTGCTAAAGCACATTTGTTACCTTTGTCTAAACTCTAAACTTAAAAAGAATAGTTGAGTTTTTGTCAGCTGATATCGGGTCGAGCTATCAAGCCATCGTCTATGCTAATATTATAAAGAGGAAAAAGGTATGAGGATGTATTTTTGTACGTATTGAAATAACTCAAACACTACTGGGCTGATTTCAAAAATCCTTTCACCATTAAAACGCTACGTTATCAATGAGTAACATAGGTTTTTTTTATTATTTTTTAATTCCTCGCGGACGAACTCGCGAGCAACAGCTGATATAAAATAAAATCGCTGTAGTGTAACTGTACATGATCATACTGTTTCAACGACTAAACTATAGGCCGGTATAAGTCTGTAATCTACGGAGGCTGCATTAGGGGTTTTTTCCTTTTTAGTTTACGTCGTCTCTTCTCTTTTTTTAATTCAATTAAAAACATAATCCGATAATAACTAAACAATGTGTACTTGAAAACGAAATCCGTGACTTACTGACAGTCGACTTTGTTGAAAGGTAAATTTTAACACGACACTTCAATCGTGAAAAATGAAAAAGAACAAAGGTAAATACTTCTAAAAGATTGTAGAAGAGAAATTCGGACGCTTCGAGTGCTTTCCACTTATACATTAATGGCCTCGCTATCATGATTCTCTCAAACGAAAGGACCAAGGCATTGGAAGACGTTCGTGACTTAATTAAAAAAGGGAACAGGAATAAGTTCACTTTTCGATTCGATTGACTCAGTTATGTGTTCGAATGGAAATTGTTATTAGGTTTTTAATAAGGTACGAGGAAAAACTTTATACTAAGTCCAGAGGTAAGAAAACACAGTTATCATACCACACCGCCTTCTCGTTTAGAACGGAGTGTTTAGTTCAGATTTTCATAAAATAAGGTTATGATTTATTCTGACAATGCCTGTTGCATTTTTTAAAATAGTAACAGGCCTCTGTTAAAATTTAAAATGCTTCTATTATTTTATAGATTTTTATCTGATCTGCCTAAATAATACTCAATAAGTTAACATGGTATTTTCTACGTTAAAAGTTACTCTAAATAAGTTTTTGTTTTACATTTGAAGGTAAGCTGTTTGTTTGTGAGCCGTACATTGAACTGTTACGTTTGCACAATGCACATAATTACGCCGTCGAAGCTTGTTTACAATACAAACTGTTATTATCTAATACAACCTAACCTATATCTTAGTTAATGTTGGAAAACCGATACAGTATTATTTTCTAAAGTTAAATTTTAAACTAAAGATATAGGCACTGCTATAATTTGAACTTTTTATAACACTTGCATCTATGTGGCGATATATTATATTAGTTTTCAGAACAATTCATAGCGATTTTAAGATTACCTCTAGTATTAACATGTTTATTATCATATCCTACTTATATTTTACTAGCTGTGGCTCGCGACTTCGCCCACGTTTAATTAAAATATATAGCCTATGTCACTCACAGATAAATTACCTTTTTAACGGTGAAAGAAAAAATTGGCCCAGTAGTTTTTGAGTTATTTCAATACATACAAAAATACAAATCTTTCCTCTTAAACTTAGTATGGATATAGATTGACAAAAAAATATTTCAACCTAGAAATGAAGATGTATTATAGAAAATCTTCGCAGATAGATTCGCTACCTTCACAAGGCAACGCAAATTGGATGACGTTTTTGCGGAAACTAATGAAGTCACGGAGTGTTACCTGTTCCCGCTCCTATATAATCTTGATCATGATTGTATTAATTTAAGTGCGCTCTGGCAACACTAGCAGGAGCTCACTTGAGCACGGACATACTGACAATGGACTTTCTAATCAACACTGGAGTTTTGAGGATATCTTTGCAGTATGGGAAGTGATGTGTGACGTCATAAGTACTAATTAAAAAGTATTCATCCAAGGATGCTGTAGAGCAGGGGTGGCAAACTTTGTTAGCTCCAAGATCTATCGTTCACTGACCTGTGCGATCTAACTACATTCCTGAAATATTAAATAAAACAGTATAGTTTAGAATAGATTTATGTAGTGCCAGTGGTTGCTCGCGACTTCGCCCGCGTAAAATTACTGCGTGATATCTTAGCTTTACAATGGTGAAAGAATTTTTGAAATCGGCCCCGTAGTTTTTAGTTATTTCAATGCATACAGAAATACAAAAATACAAATCTTTCCTCTTTATAATATAAGTATAGATTTATGTAGTCTACGTATTTTTGCGTTACCAAAATCGACATTGCGATGGATTAGTTGGCCACCTCTGATATAAAGCTTGTAAGATGCAATTGTTTACGAAAAAAACACTCTTTTTATATAAATATGTCATCTGACAACCGATACATTAGGTGTACTAAGGTGCGGATATTATCCTAAATTGACAGTAGACAGGTTTGGTGTCTCAAAAACTAAAAAAAAAGAGGAATACTTGTATTTTATACTTTATCGCTTCTACGAACTTCAAAGCATGATTTTTGCAATAGTTCGAACGCCTATCGAAGTATTCAAAAATCGTGACACGCTAAAATGTATCTTACACTATCAATTTTAAAGTACATTTTCGTATATCAATAATATCGATCTTAAATCTGAAAGGAGTAATAAAAGGCAGACTCCGCTATAGTCTGTGCCCAAGTGCTCTCTACCGATCATTGGCCCACACTATGTTAGCACTTGACCCAATGAAAATTTATATTGTTAAAATTATGCTGCCTTTCTTTACAGAAGATATACCGATAGATTACTAATCTAGAACATCAACTTGACAGCTAAGTTACCATAACGCACAAATTATTTTCGGACATGATTTTTATTGTGAAAGGGAATAAAAAAGACTATTTAACTTTCGTTGTTTTTAATGAATCAGTTTGACAGAGTACGAAGTAAATTTAGATAACAATTCATACATTTTTCATTCAATTGCAGGGTAAAACGCTATACTATACCATTATTAACCATAGACTATATACTAACAGATTGTAGACATTGGTGTTGTCTTTGGTCTCTAAAAACACCAATCTGTTATTATATTAATCTATGACTTCCAACACACATTTACGAAATTATACATTTCTGGTTCTCAACCGAAATTTCTTTGCGTCCTTAGCGATAGCATCAATGTAGCGAAAACAAGCCAATAATTTCATTGCATCTCTAACATTGCTTACAGCCATCCATTTTAGAAATTGACTTATAGATCTTCTAATATAAATGCCAACATTCGTTTGAAGATGTTGCCAGAATGATTTTTATTTTTTAACTGTAATCTTCATATACATTAAAAATAATGTTTTCACAGTCAAGGACATTTATTTCCTACCCATTTCGTTTGCAAATCTACAATACAAAGACGATTTAACTATATAATTAGGTCGAAATCTTGCCATAGCAAATAAATAGATGCTCAAATATCTTCCAAGTCGTCGATTGTAAGTAGGTTGCAAATTATATTCTTTGACTGTATGTAAATTGTGAAAATAAATATTTCGAATTTCGTATTCAAAACCATTCTGGACAACTTCTTAACTCTACACATCTCCGTATAACAATGGTACAGAAAGCGTTCCCCTTCTTACAACTGAAGTTAACACAATTCAAGGGCTAAGAAGTTACACACGGCACGCATAAAATACTACATACCTATATGCTATATTGCAAACTCATACATGTTTAAGAAGATAAAAGGTAAAAAAGATTTCTTTATTATCAGACGTATGTTTTTCGTTTTTATTGGTTGAGCGTAAATTTTCACTGCGAAAACGAACAGATTAACTTAGAGAGATGGTTTTATAATGTTCCGACAGTGAAAACCTACGTTTTTTTAATTGCATTAGTGTTATTTTAAAAATATATCATTATATTAAGGCAGTGTCTATTGCTGTCAATTGTGCGAAATACCAAAGAGCACATAATTGTACTCTATGGTAATATATCTTTGGTGCAGTAAAAAACCTTCAAATTTGAATATAGAACACAAAACATTGCTAGATCGTTGTATTACGAAACACCGTAAGCTCAGTGTTGCAATTTAAAATTTACAAACTCTCAAGAATTATTAGGAAAAATAAAAAAGTATGAATAAAAAACGGTTATCAGTGTTTTATGAAATAACAATAAAAACCCGACATGAGAATTTCGTTGTATTAAAACCGCTGTTACATTTCTCTGAACTTTTTTTTTTAATTGCAACACTGAGAATGGCTGTCAAGGAATTCTTGAGTATTTAAGGTAAGAATACAAATATGAAACTTATTTTATAGCCAAAAGAGTTTAATATCCTGTAACTCTATCGTTATCTGATTTTATGTCGTACAAATTTTACAATTCAAAAATCTAGAGAGAAACATCATTAAAAAACATTAATACAGTATATAGGGCAGGAATTATATGTTCGAGATATTCTGATATATTTAAAAGTACAAAGTCTTAGGAAAATTTACTGTAAAATACATTCAGTAATATAGTGTTACAGAAAAATCGTAGAAATTCTACATTACATATCGTTTATGCCTAATTTCGTATAAATTGATATGGCAACAAATTCAGATAAGACATTGTGTGGGCTACTTCGTTGAAGCTACGCTACAAGATTTTAGTGACTTATTAAGAAAAAATGGTAACTTATTATGCATTAGATATAAAAGACAACATAACACAAAGAAGGCATGATATAACAATTTCTCAAAGAATAACGAATTAATCGGAAAAGAATACTGATTATTAATATTTCTTAAATGGCAACACTAATGTTTATGGTAATCTGTTAAAGAACAATTAAGTTATAATTGTTACTTATAAAAAGAAGATAATTAAAAAAACATGCCTCCTTTGTGTTTTTTGGGGTTCCGTAAAGAAATAATCAGTATCCAATAGGATTTAAAAAAAACTGTCGTTGTAAAATATTAAATTTCGTATTAATAAAAAAGCTACGGAACTCCAATATTTAAATGTAAGTATTGCCAAAGTAAAAATTAATTCCAGTAATATTGTGATTAAATATCTTAATGCACTTATTCTAACTTAATTCTATATTAATTAGTTAATGGAACCGTACTAGTCTTTTCGTACCAAAAATACTGGTATTACACAAATATAAATGTAAAAATATAAAAGCATATTGAGTTTCACGAGATTAATACAGTCACTAACAAAACAAATAATATGAAAATTTAAAATTTAAAACTACGCATATCTTAAAAAAGTAATAAAATATTGGTAAAATCGAATAAATTGTGATGATTTTTAACAAAAAAACAACACAGCAAATTTTATAGAAACATTTTTGTTTATCAAAAGATCTCGTCGAATACATAGATTATAATTAAAAAGCCTGTATAAATATCAGAAATCATGAGATTAAGGCAAGGTACACATAAGAAATCGCCATCTTTCATCAAAGCATTCGAAATGTTAGAAATTTTAACGCATCCTATAAAAAAGGTTACATCTCTAGAAAACGAGTGTGGTGCCGGAGGCGAAACTTTAGTCCGTTTTCCTTCCCATCCTTTTTCTGATAAGAATGGGATGGAAAGGGAATTAATTTGTCGGTGGAGACATCTTTATTTGCGTCTCTTCCTCCGTCGATTTAAGGCAACGCATTCTTAATTACGAATGTCTATGGGCATCGGTCACTTCACTTGCTCTTGCTCGTTTGCCATTTTGTAATAAAAAAAATGTAACTTTATTCATTGGATGCATTTGTGTAACTTTACTACAAACTACCCGCTTACAAATGTATCACCACAAATATTGCCCAAATACCGCACTATTTTAACTACTTTATCATACAATACTAAGTTAAAAAACCCTTAAAAAGTATGAGGTTAAAAACTACCTAATTAAAGCAAATATGTATATTGTTCTACATTCTGGGAATGTAACGGGTCACATAAAAAAACACTAACTACATATATACAACTAATAAATTACAAAAATATATCAACAAATTATGCTGTCTAAAAATGTGAAAAAATACTATCAAAGGAGATATTCTTTGGAAGTTACTGCCGTAGATAGTATGAGAATAACGAGAAAATAGGCCGTTGACACCCCTACGGACAGCTATGCCATAAATTATATGAAAACGGGAATAAAATAAAATAAAGTACAGTCAGAAACAAAAGTGTTCAAGATACATCAGCGAAGCAATTTATCGTAATATTTTTTTTTCATTTCGTACAATTTTTTTAATTGTACCATTCTTGAACACTTTTTTACCGATTTTGATTGAAGATTTAGCACATATATAGAATAAGAGATTTTACATTTTCTGATAATAGTTGCTTTTAGCTTTCTACGCAAGGCAACACAGAATCATTTACACATTTTTTCTAACCTTGAAAATGCCAATTACAAGATGCCACATGAAGCCGTTTTTATCATACATACTGAACACATGCGAGGCCTTAGATGTCAGAGTTTTTTTTTAATTACTACTAATTAATTAAATTGGAATGTTACAATTGCCAGTATAAAATATTCGAGACATAAATAGTAAAAACTTATTAGTAAAAAAAATAAACAGATCCAGGTTTCAATTAAATAAATGTTAAATATTACTAAATCAGTGCAGCGGAGAAATTAAACTCCATACATTATTTGGAATAAAAATACATAACAAAAAGTGCATTAATAAAGTGAAAAATATTAATACAAAAAGTAAGAAACTATTTTTTTCCAAGTCTTTTACAAATGTCTTCGATTTTCACAAATATAACTTACGTATTCCACAACGAAATATAAAAAAATATTAAAAAAAAACAATTAGTATAATAAAAACTTAACAATTAAATTAGTTATGCCATAATTTTGTCGTTTTATTTATAAAGCAAATATCTGAGAGGTAGAAATGGGGTACAAATTTGGATTTTCATACGTAATGTAAAGATGCGTCCACACTAGAACGCTAATAATAAAAAATAGAAGACAGATCTCATGAAAGGTTCATTTTATTCTAACCTTACCTTTATTGTCAAACTATTGATCATCTGTCAATCATTATATTAAAAAAAATAGCTGTCAAAAATATCGATTGAATGACTTCGATTGTTTCATTCATTCAGTCATACAATTATCAAAATAATGTGTATCCATTCTATTAATATCAAAACAATACATTTTATTACGAGATTGTACTTAAACAAAATGTATTTTTCTTTGCTTTTAGTTAATGAAAAGGAGCATACTTTCTTTTATATCATGACAAAAACAATAAAGTGCAACATACAAAATCACACGGAACATAAAGATGAAATTTCTATCAAATGACCTATGTTTTTGACAAAAACTAGTAATATTCTCCTATAGTTAGTACATAAAACTTTTATTTTGTTAATTTACAGTTGTATCAGCAAACATCGAATGTATTTTCAGTTGCAGTCTATTTTGTCTAGGAGAATGACAGATGGCAATATCAATTGTGTTGACAGTGTATACACACCTTTATTTAGTTTATGTATTTGAATACGTTATATATAAGGGTTATGTTATAGTGGGTTTGCGATCTCCTCCCCCGGCAGCGAGTGCACGCGCGCAGACAGCAAGTTGTGCAGAATGAAGACCGCCGGCTTCGGACTACCCTCCATGTCCAACTCCTGAAAGTATATAACAGTTTGAACACTGCTCGTAATCTAACGCTTACTTAGATGTAGTCTTAACTAAATTAATGATATTTCGACATTTCGATTTAATTCATTATTAGTACTGACTTGTATATTTTATCCAATTTAGTTACCTTTAAACGTAAAAAACTTATAGACTGTTGAAGTGTAGGGGTTTATAAAAAAATCTCAAATATTCAATGATAGTCGACCACTTATATAAAGTGTGTGCTTACGTTTTATACATTACTACAGAAGTTCAGATCTTAGTAAAATTAGAAACGTGTAAGTTAAAAGGGATGGACGGACGATAAAATTTGACATAGATGTTGAGGATGGTCTGGAAGAACACATAGGTTACTTGCTTTTGTTTTTAATTTCACGCGGACAGTCATAGACCAAAAGAGATAATACCATAAATGTGAAAATTTAAAAGGTAAGAAAAACAGTACTGCGCTGGAGGATTAATGCAACACTAGATTATTGGCACATATTTCTCGTTCCTATCTGACAGCTGTCAATGTCATTGAGACGTATTGGAATAGCGCGTCATTCTGGCGGGATCAGTAGCTATAAGAGTTAATTGCGTTATTAGTTATTATCCTTAAAAAAATATTTGTTAAAGTGTACCTTCTAAACTATTGAAAGAATCTCGATAAAATTTTGCACAGATATAGAGCATAGTATGGCAGATTACATGTTTTTTTTAAGAGTACAAGTGATAATGACCAGGGTATCATCATCAGCGAAGTGCAGCCAGAGCGCGGCGTCGTCGTCCGCGGAGGCGCGCAGCGCGTGCAGCGGGCGGCGGTAG